TATTATTATTTATTTATTAAAATTTATTAATTGAATAATAAATTACAAATAAACCCCTGGATTTTTACTTCAATCTGTAATGCGACTGGTTTTGGCCAAATTCCGAGGTGCATATGAGATACTTAATAGTGGCACATGGTGCAAACGCTCTCTTCAATAACTACTTGGGTTTTTTTTGGGGGGGAGCTTCGCGATACTGAGGGACCCAAGCTCCGGTGTAAAAAGTTTTGCTGCAAGATGTAGTCATTTCGCCAGGTTCGACACCACCATCGGCCCACTGCTGTATGCCGAGCAGTTTCTGCAGCTCTCCATCAGACTCCCCAGCAGCAACATCTACGGGGTGGGCGAGCACGTCCATAAGAAGTACAAACACGACGTCAGCTGGAAAACCTGGCCCATGTTCAGCCGGGACACGGCCCCTTCTGGAGTAAGCCCTTATTTTATTCCATTTTTTTGGTTAAATTCTGGAATCCAGCCGTAGCTGGCACCTTAATGACATCCATGGAGTTTTTTTTCCTTAAAGACTTGCGCAGTAACTCAAAAAGTGAGATACCGTCGAATAAAATTCCTGTTGGAATTTTTGTTGATCTTTGGGTTGAATCAGTTGGGTTTTGCTGCAAACCAGCTGATGAACACAAAGATCTGAAAGATATTTTTTGCCGTTTTTTTTTTCCCCCTTGTCTGTGCCCTGCTGTGCGCAAAATTCGGTAGATTTTTAAAATTCTACATTTTAAAATTCTAATTTTCCATCCTTTTTTTTTCCCAAGGTGATTTCTATGGCGTCTGGTTTTCATAAAATAGAAAAGCATATTCCTCCATCTGCAAGGAGATGTTTTACCCTCAACTCGCGAGCTTTCGACGCTGTATTGCCCTCGCGCTGCATCAACTTGCGAAATATTCAGTTTCAAATCAATACTTATTTTTTTTGCGTATTGCTTTTGCTAACTCGGATTCCCACGCGCAACCATTTTTTGGGGAGTACTTTGGGGGAAACAGAGAGCTGAACGTTACTGCTGCTCTGATTCGTAGATCTTGGGCTTGATGAGAAGAAGGAAATTTTTGGTAGAGTGTGTAAGCGCTTGATGACGTAACGCTGCAGAAAACCCCAACCAATAGAAAACATTAAATTTCTGGTGTATAATCAACGCTGGGGAGCAAGAGAAGTGATGTAGATCATGAAAGAAGGAATAACAAGAATATTTTAACACCTGATTTTTTCTGAGTCTCTAAACCAGCTTCTTTATACCTACAGCATCTCAAACTCTGTTTGAAATTGTTTTTCGTTATTTGAGATCGTAACGGAATTAAACGAGTCTTAAGCAGAGATCAGTCAATGCAACGCCGATCCTTACGCGGAGTTTAGAGCAAGTCCCAAAGTCTTTTGCTGAAGTACAGGTGATGTGCAGAGGATTCAGGAGCAGCTCGATATTTGCAGTTAATTAATATTTTAGAAGGACGATCTTTCGAAGTTTTGAGACATCGTCTACGGGCTGCCACATTTATTTTGGGTTTTGAACCAAAATTTGCCCGTCAGCAAGAAGTATTGTAGAAAAGATATTTTCTTTCCATCTCTACTAGAGATGCAATTTATAGTCTTTATCTTATAAACAATCGGTGCGTGGAGGTTCTTATCCCAACAGTTCCCAAAGTTTGTCTGCCCCAAATCTGCCCCAATCAACAGATTTTGAGAAACTTAAGATATTCCCACAAAACAGAGAAACAAAAATGAGGTTAGCGTTGGCAATATTATTTTCGCTGTTCGTTTCCTTTCGACAGGTTGGACCTCACATGCGGTATATTTTTGAGATATTGCAGAGTGCATACAGTTACCAGATTTTTTATTTAATCGCTTTTTTTTTTTTTGCTTTAAGAACATGGAAAACTTATACGGCGTCCAGACTTTCTTCTTGTGTTTGGAAGACAACTCTGGAGCCTCTCTTGGTGTTTTCTTGATGAACAGCAATGCCATGGGTAAGGAGACCTTCTCCACAGCTCTAAGTATTGTAAAAAAAATTAAATATGTGCTGGAGAGTTGGGCAGAGAGGAACATGATGAAATTCAACAAGGGTAAGGGCAGGGTCCTGCACCTGGGGAGGAACAACCCCATGCATCAGTACAGGCTGGGGATGACCTGCTGGGGAGAAGCTCTGCGGAGAGGGACCTGGGTGTGCTGGGGGACGACAGGGTGACCATGAGGCAGCAGTGTGCCCTGACTGCCAAGAAGGCCAATGGGATCCTGGGATGCATTAAGAGGAGTGTGGCCAGCAGGTCAAGGGAGGGTCTTCTTCCCCCCTGCTCTGCCCTGGTGAGGCCCCATCTGGAGTCCTGTGTCCAGTTCTGGGCTCCCCACTTCAAGAAAGATGAGGAGCTACTGGAGAGAGTCCAGTGGAGGGCTACGAGGATGGTGAGGAGACTGGAGCATCTCTCCTACGAGGAAAGGCTAAGGGAGCTGGGCTTGTTCAGCCTGAAGAAGAGAAGGCTGCAGGGGGACCTAATATATACTTATAAATATCTGCATGGTGGGTGTCAGGAGGACGGAGCCAGACTCTTTTCAGTGGTGCCCAGTGAAAGGACAAGGGGCAACGGGTACAAACAAGCAGAGGAAGTTCTGTCTGAACACGATGAAGAACTTCTTTCCTCTGAGGGTGACGGAGCCCTGGCCCAGGCTGCCCAGGGAGGTTGTGGATTCTCCTTCTCTGGAGATATTCAAGCCCCATCTGGATGCGGTGCTGTGCATCCTGCTCTGGGTGACCCTTCTTGGGCAGGGTGTTGGGCTGGGTGACCCACAGAGGTCCCTTCCAACCCCTGCCATGCTGGGATTCGGTGATGCTGTGATTTAAATGATCTGCAACGCCATGAGGAAGGATTCTTTCGGCATAGCTCAAAGAACTGCAATATATATATAAATATTTAAATAACCTGCAGGGCTATTGCACAATCTATTGATGTAGATTTTAAAAAAAAAAACATTGTCCCGTATCAAATCTTGAAGAAAGTTGTCCTAAAATCCGTCAACGCAGTCATTGTTTCAAGCATTTCCTCACGTTTCTATACCAGCAGCGTGAAGGTTGTGTTGCTGCACACCTTGTGCACATTTTTGTTCGTGTTCAGGGGTGTTTCAGTACAAGATACTACAATTTGGGTGTAAATTTAGACTGAGAAGCACTCACTAATATATGCCCTTACTTTCTCTTGGCTAATTATA